TCATCCACCCATCCATCCACCCATCATCCATCCATCCATCCATCCATTCACTTGCCCATCCATCCACCCATCCATCCATCCATCCATTCACTTGCCCATCCATCTACTCATCCACCCATCCATCCACCCATCCACCCATCCATCCATCCATCCATCCACCCACCCATCCATCCATCCATCTATCCATCCAGTAGTATTCACAGGGGGTCTGTTAGGTGTGCAGCATGTGGAGAAGTGACATCCTATGGAGCTCACATTCTGGCTGGGCCAAGTGAGGGACCAGGCAGAGTGCAGGACCCTAGGGTTTGCAAGGGCAACCTAAATTCTGAAAGAATGTGAGATTGGAGTGGGTAAGGTGGGCCAGGCTTATAGCTTTTTGACTCTGTTATAGCACTTTGGTTTAGAGATTTCTAAAATCTGCAGCAGTGAGGGAGTAGAACGATTCCACTGTGACTTTACCAGTACAGGTTGGATGGGACCACTGTATAACAGTGCTGCTGCCAGGGTAAACAGAGGGCAGAGCGTCTGGACTCCCAAACCTACCCGGCTGGCATGTGCTCTTTTTCTTTTTCTGTGCTCTGCTGCAGCTCCTGGATCTCTTCTTGTATCTGCTGGGGCTTCGTGAAGTGACCCAAGAAGTTGAAGTAATCTTCTGCATAGGGCCGGTGGACTGTTGGTGAGTAGTTAATACCCAGTTTCTGTAAAAACTCTTGGTAAGTAATGTACCCTCTTCCCTCAGTGTCGTAGCTGAAATAAAAACGAAATGCAAAGCTGTCAGCAGTAGTCATGAAGGTGTGCAGGTGCTTAGGGCCTACATGACATCTGCATGGCCTGGAGGAGCTCAGGTGCTGCTTCTCCCTGTGCACCATCAGTAATGCAGAGTTCCAGGCTTGGCCCAGACCTGCTCTGAACCTGCATTTACTAGGGGCCCTGGGTGACCCACAGGCACCAAATTTGAAACCCAGTGCTCTGAATCAGCAGAACCATCTCCTTATATAATACTTACCCTGGAGAACACGGCCAGAGCCAAACACTTGTCCCGCTGGTGGGAGCAGAGTTGTGACCGCAGAAAATCAAGCCAAGCCTTCTGCACATTCAACAGTTTTTATTTTGTGTTAAGCACCAACATGTAAAAGGAGCTATGCTAAGATTTAGAAGAAAATCCTTCAAAAAAAGCATATTCCATCCGAAGACTCAAATAAATGAATGCCACTTGATTCAAGGGTGGTACAAGCCCCCATTTTCTCCTGAAGCGATGGCAATTACACACACCCAACAAGAGAGACGAGAAGGAAAACAAGATAAGAAGTGTGCTCTGTGCCTTTTATGTCATTTCCTATTATCAAGATTTTTCTGAATTATAATTCATTAAAAAAAGACATAATGGAGGGTTTTTATCTCCCAATGTTATTCAAATAGAAGAGAATTACTTCAACAAAAATGGTTAGGCAAATTGCCAATTTTCTTTAAAGGAAAATTGCATTTATTTTTATAGAAAGATCTGGGTCCTCATCTAATCGATAAAAACGGCATTTGCAGATGTGATTTCTTTCCCCAGCTAAACTTGAGCTGCAAGGAACAAGACTATACATTGAAACAACCTCGCGAGGCTAAGCTTGCGTGAGGACGTCGCTGGGCTCCCAGAGGCTGTGTCTAGCTGCCTGAGATCTGTAGAGTGGGGTTGCTTTCCTCTGTCCTTCAGGACAGCTCTGGGACCCCATGGCCACTTGGACACACCGAGCCCTAATGAGGAAGACAGAGCATTGATTTTTCTGTCTTCTGTCCTCACAGGTTGGAGGGGCAGGAGGAGGAGGAGGTAAGAGGCGGGGCCTCCTCCTACGAGCTGTCCTGCTCACGTGCACAGGGAGCTGGAAGACTGTGAGTTCCAGGTCGGCAGCTGGAGCCTCATAGCCAGATCCCGCTCAAAAACCAACCAACCAACCAACCAGCAACAGAAAAACAAGCAAAGCAACACCCCCACAAAGGGGGCCTGCAGATTCTGCTTCCTGAGGCCTCTCCTCAGCCACAAAGACCAGTGGCTCCCGGGCAATGCCAACAAGGACAGGGGCTGTCCCTTCTGCTGAACCTACGAGGGGCAGGGCTACCATCTCCTGAGCTTGGGGGGACCCCAGGGCTGAGCATCTCTCTGTAACTGCACAGGGACTGGAACTAGCCTTGTGCCACCTGAGTGAGGCAGCAGTGCAACTCTGGTCAGAATACCAACTGACCAGGTTCCCAGGGCGTCCCACCCCTGCAGGACAGTTCTGGACAGATGGGCCGGACAACTCCTGGTGTCTTTACCGGAACCTCTCTCCTCCCAAGTGTAAGGTGCCTTGCTTGGTCCTGGCCTGTCAAGTTCTGCAGAGGAGGGCGGGTGGACGGGGGTGGAGGCCCCGGCCAGGGGAGGAGACCCCAGCAGCACTGTTCTCCAACGGCGAGGCAGAGTGACAGCTTCTGGGCGGGATGGCCCTCCCGCCGCGGGCTGCTCCAGAGAGTCCCAACAACCCGCTGTAAATCACGACACTTGAATTGAATGAAAAGGCACTTCTTAATTACTTCATTAATAAAGATCATAAACATTCTCTTCGCATCACAAAGGAGCAGAAGACCAGATTGCACAATTGCAGCTAAAATATTGTTATGAATGTGAATAATAAGAGAGTTAATTCAGCTTACATAACCTCACCCTGCATTACACAATCCTTTGTGTAACATTAAAAAAGAATCAACTTGCCTATAAAGGTTGAATTTTAAAATGGCTCAGCAACAGATGTGCCAGGGAAAATGTGCACGTAAGCAGAGGCCCCATAAAAACCTGCATTTGCGTACGGCAGTGCCCATTAATTGATGACATAATCAGATTACTCTGCCCTTTTATTGTACACAAGCAGTTCAGCGGTACACATAATCTGGATACATTCATATTGTTTTGCTTTGCTTGGAAAGCCTGGGTCTGTTATGCTCAGTTCAGGCACTTGCTTCTTACATAATTTTGGAAGCGCTTTTGCTTTTGAATGCCAGTGGTGCCAGAGGTTAGGGCAGAACTGCGGTGTGGGGTGAGCCCCCCGATGACCTGGGCCACACTATGTAGGAGGAGGCGTTGTACCTTGTGCAGCCAGGCACCACTTTGGAGGTGGACCTGCTGATCTTCAGAATGGGCAGTGACCAGCGGCCCAAGCTGGCCAGGCCCGGTGGGCACAGCCAGCAAGTCCTGAAGGAGTCGCTGAAGTTAGACACCATCTGCTCCTGTCCCCACCCACAGCCCAGATCCTTCTTCTGTTCTCCCAGCACGTGGAGGTCCAGCCTCAAAGAGCCACGCTGTGGATGGGGAAGCCGCTTCTTCTGGGGTTGCCTGCTGGAGTTGTAGAAGCTTTCACCCTCTGAAGACTTCTCCCAGCTCAGCCGGAGACCCCCTGGCCAACATGTCCCCAAGACCAACATCCCCAAGGACAACGTCCTGCACCCACAGCACGCTGAGGCTCAACCCCTGAGGTCACATCCCATCTGATCTTTTCGAAGCTAACGATGCCCTTCACTCCGCTTCTTCCAGCCTTTCCTCCCTTGGGGCCAGTCCTGTCCAGATGTTTGTCAGCTGGATACCAGATAGGTCCTTTCAGGTGGGCTTGGCTAAGCCTGAGGAGTGACCTTGCTTCCTGCGTCCTTTCCTCACGTAAGCTGCTGCTCAGCAGTGGCCTCTTCTCCTATTTCCACACTTGAACTGTGAGACACTGATATTTTGCGTGAATGTGGATATAACACACTGAGCGCGTCAAGACAGGTGTGTACACAGGCCTTGTGTACCTGCTCACTTCCGGTCGGGGCCGCCTGGCTGGCTGGTCACACACCTGACACCTCTGCCGACCTTGCCCACCTTGCCGCTGCCTGTGGGGGCTTTTCTTTGGTGTGCTTCCAGAACACACTCTCTCCATCACTTTCCTGCTAAGTTTCTTTTGGATCCTGTTGAGGGCTATGTTGGGACCCAGGAATTCGGCACAAGATCAGCACTTAGTTTCAAAAAATTCCTGCTTCCTGGCTGAAGGAATGAGAGAACACCTCTATGAGGCAACTTTTCTGCAGTGGTCTCTCCAAGCCAAGCAGAAGGTTGCTTCTGACAGCTCAGACTCACAGTTCCTGGTCTGGAAGAGGGAGCAGGCTCCTTTGTTTCTTCCACCCTCTGTGAGCCAGGCTCACCTTTCCTCCACCTGGTGCCCATCTGTGACCCCTGTGTTGCTGGCAGGGACCTCGGCCAGCCCTGGCATTGGGCTATGGGCAGAAGTGGGCACCCCATAAGCTGCTGTGATCCTCCAGCTCTGGAGTCCCCAACCTTGGTGTGGCATCCCCCACTGAAATGATAAAGCCACCCCCTGGAAGCCAGCCAGGTCCCCAAGACACTGCTTTGCAGGGAACTGTCCACAAAAGCCACTAGATCTGCAGCAGAATAAGACATAAAACACTGATGTGCTGAACCACTGAGATTTGGGGGTTAATTTATTAATTTACTTCTACAGCATAAACTAGACCCTCCAGACTAATCCAGAGCTCTAAAACCGTGCACTTCACAGGTGCTTAATAAATGTGGAGTGAATAATGGATGTTGACACTTTTTTCCTTGTCTGTATTTTTGCCATTTTGTTTTTTTTAGCATTCCTGTTTTCACGGGAACAGAAAATCATCTTCCTCTGCTTCTGCCTGCCCAGAGCTGGGGTCTTCCTGTTCTGACACACGATGTGGACCTGCCCAGACCCCCCGAGGGACAGAGGGTGTCACATGCCCGGGGTGCTCCCAACTCCCCTGGGTCCTGCTACTCAGCAGGGTTGGGGTGTGGGGATCCCCACACACTGCCCAGGGAGGATGCTGGTTCCTCCCTGTTGTTAGGGCAACTGGAGGAGCTGCTGGTACCTTGACAACCTGTCCTGCAGGCGCAGCTCCCAGCATCCCCTGCTTTGGGAAGGGAGGCCGTCAGCCGCCACTAACTGCACACACAGAGCCGTGAGGGGAACAAGCCAGGAGGGGGAGGAGGGGGAGGACAATGAGACAGATGTCATCTCTACTCAGAGGAAAAAGAAAGAAAAACACACCATCAAGAGCTTGCTGTTGGTCGTCTCTGCCGAGTGGATCGGGGTGGATGTATTACTGTCTCTTTCTTCGTGTTGTTCTGCATTTTCTGTGTCTTCTAGTACAAGCATGCAGTCACGGTGCCCAGGCGGGGGTGGGGGCACTTTCTGATCTCTCAGAAATACCCTGCTGTCCTGGGAGCCTTGATGGGAGCGGTTTCCCCTCTGCTGCTGCACAGGCCACAGGGGCTACAGCCTCCAGCTCCCTGACTTCCAGCCCGGGTCCTCACTCACTGCGTGACGTTGCTCTCTGCTCTCTGCTGCACGCGGAGGAGGATGCCCCTGGGCGTCCCTTGGCCTCGAAGACCCCTCCTCCCTCCTCCCTGCGGGTAATTCACACGAGGCAGCGGCCGTGATGTGTCCCCATCTCTGTTCCTTTTACCTCCCAGACACGCATGCAGGCTGCTTCCCCCAGCCATCCCCTCAGGTTAGCATGGCCATGGGATGGGGACAGTGCGATGGCCACGTTTCCAGACCTGACCCCCTCCAGGCTGGCCACACGGTCCTCTGTGGCCTGTCTTCTCCACAGGGACTCAACAGGCGATGGGATGGCTGCTTCTGAACCGAGCAGTGGGTAAAATATGACCACCCTCCCCACAAGAGGCCTCGAGGTCATTTTAGAGGGGCCTCTGGCTGGCTGCCTGGCTAACATACCACTCCAGCTACTCAGTTTAAAAGTGTCCTTCATCCCAGCACTCCAGGAGGCTGAGGCAGGAGGATTATACATTTAAGCGCAGCCTAGGCAACTTAGCAATTTAGAGAGACCTTGCCTCAAAATGAAAACTAAAAGGGGCTGGGCATGTAGTTCAGTTTGAGGACCCTGAGTTCAACCCTCAGTACTGCAAAAACAAAACAAAAACCAAAAAGTTGTTCCAGTTTTACAAGATGAACAGAGAAGCCCTGTGGGCACGGCTGTACGATATTATGAACACATTTAATACCACTCAACTGCATGCTTAAAAATGGTTATGACGGTAAATTTCAATTGTATTTTAGCACAATAAAAAAATTGGGGGACAAATCCTAACAATACAAATTTGCTTTCATGTGCGAAATGTAGATACAGCATGAACTATTTTTAAAGTAATTGATCTAATGGAATAAAAATCACAGTAATAAGTGCTACAATTTGCAGACTGGCCATGCACTGCTTTACTGAACTAAGAGAGGCCCAACAAGGTCATAGGTGGGACCACAAAGGTGCGGGGGCGCTGGCTGGAAGAAGCCACTTAGGGAGCGGCTTGAGGGTCTTCTCCAGTGAGGGGCGGAAATGGGAATTTTGCACCAAGAACTGCACTTGTCTACAGCCCCTGACTGTATTTCTCTAGCCTATGAGATTCATCCTTGCTCTTATATCTCTCCACTTAACAAATTGATTTTGTCACATGAAAAAAAAAAATGACAACTTAGTTCAAAAGCCCCGCTTAGCAAGCACTCATCCCCGAGGCCCTCCTCAGTCGGCAGGGACTCCGCGCTTGATCTCCAAGTACTTCTCCTTTTCAAGCCGCGTGGGATATTAAGGAGAGGCACCCGTGTTATTTATTCCTCTTGGTCTCCCCGCCCAACCACTGAGAACCCCATTGCTAGGTGTTCAGAGCACGTTTGCTGGAGGAATAAACCCGGAGAGAGCCAGCCCTTTCTGAGGGTCCCCCGGCTGTCCCCGAGCATCCCCGGGTGACAGGGAGGATGAGTTCTGTTTTGCAGCTGAAGAGTGTGAGCCAGAAACACGAGCGGGGCCACACAGCTGGGAGAGGCCAGGAGCCAGGCCGAGGCCTCCGTCTGCCGAGCTGTCGCTCTTACCCGCTCGGCATCCACCGTGGAAGGTCAAGCAATCAAGGGCGGGAACGTCTGACCACAAGCAGATTTCAACACAGACCGCAGTTTCACAGCATGGAAATCTGTGCAGGTCCTAAGACCGTCCATTCGTGCGTGAGGAGATCTCAGCTCAGTGCGGCAGCAAGTGTGGACCTCTGGCGAGTGTGGGCCTCCACTAAAACTTTCAGGACGGGGCACGGGTGTGCACATTCACTCCCTGGGGGAGCCCAAACAGGGACATGAGACACCCCAAGGGTGCTGGTCCCAGCTCAGGACCCTGGTTTCTCCCAGGGCCCCGGCCCTGCCCTGGCCCCAGCAGTCTCCTGATTCTTTCTCCATCACAGACACGCTGGACGTTCATGGTTCCCCAGTGCCCAGCTGATAACAGCAGAAAACACCGCCTCCGGGGAGGGGCTGGCCTGACCCTCCTTTCTGCCCGGAGAGTCCCAGGCCACTGCTGGCAGAACTACCTACTGGCTACAGGCTGGGCAGCCACCTGCTCGTGAGGTCCTCTGTCTCCATCCTGGTCCCCCAGATGCTATGAGAATGTCCCCCGTGCAGTGACCTCTGCTCACCCTGCAGGACCTTAGCGCTCCTGCTTTTGACTTCACCACCTGACTGGCGTGGTGCTGTGGTGTTCACAGGCCGCGCTGAGCTCCAGGAATCCGTGCGACGGCTCCCCATGCCCCGACTGTCCCCTGAGGACAGGGGCCACCTCCACATCTCCCAAGCAGGAGAGCGGGGCCTTTGCCTGCTGCACGGAAGCCACTGAGGACTCACTTGCAGCAACCTAGCTAATTTGCTGAGGACAAAAGGGACAGGGAGTCTAAATTGGCCCTGTGTTGGAACTGATCTTTTTTTTTTTTTTAAAAAAAAAAAGGATTTTGTGAGAACATCAAGTGGTTTTTCTAAATTAGACACAAAACAACCCACCTAATTCTAAACCGGGCTGCTCTGAAGAGATGAAAAGCTGAAGGACGCCCGGCACTGCGCGGTGAGCTCGCTCCCGAGTGGACACCAGGGCTGGCGCCGTCCTGCGGGAGCCCAAGGGGCAACGAGCAGGTAATGAAGGCGGAGGCGATCAGAGATGGGCCCGGCGCTTAGAACTCAGATATTTGCACAGGGAATAACTCAACTGGGGGCTGATTCAATGCAGCTATATCTAAAACACGTTCTGAAAAATGGCACCTACATTAGATTCTATTTTCAGTCTAAGAGGCCCTCGGGAAAGCACTCCAAGTTGCCAAAAGTTTGCTTATTTTCTTCCAACAAATTACTTATCTATAAAACAGTCGTACAAGTTTGATTTCCATCTGAAGGGGACAGGGAGACCGCCTTCTCCTTTGCCCGTTGCTCATCTGTGTGTGAGCCAGTGGCATTAGAGAGAAGTCTTCGGAGACTGACTTATTCCTCTGAAACAGTGCGTGCGTGGGCCTGCACTCCTGCACTCGGGATACACACAACTCTCAAGTCCAGTACTGCTGGGAAGGAGTGACCACAGCCTGCTCCGTCCCTGGAGCCCAGCCCGCCCCTTACAGCTGCTGTTGATGAGGGGGAAAAGGCACCCAGGACCCTGGACCTAGGACTCAGGACCTAGACTGACAGCATCCCAAGAAAGCCCTTCCCAGCTCCCCAGTCCCTCCCTGAAGTAGTGGTGAAAACTTTGCAGGGAATTTGCCTTAACGATCACCCCAAGGCCACCAGAACACATCCGGGCCATCCTGCAGACTGCGCTTACCTTTGCCAAAGCTTCTCAAATTCTCTTGGTGTGAGGGGAATGTCAAAGCCATACAGGGCATTCTTTACATCCCGTCGTCGAAGAATGCCATTGCCCTCGGTATCAGTTTCTATAAAGTTCTACAATGTCAGAAGATGGCATTTAGTAGCATGTAACATGTGTTTACTAGTCAATATCTGGAATGATCTAAGGGATTTCTCTCCCTCCCCCTTTTAACCTAAGTTCCAGATGTCCTCATCGATCCTGCAGGGAAGACGATGGGCTCAGCAGGAGGAGTGTCACGGGCATGAAGGGGGTTATTTCTGGGCAAAGGCGTGGTCTCTGGGGCACAACCTGGAATCTTGCCCCCACCAACCATCTGGGTCTACTCACTATTGGAAATGAGGGTGAACCAGACCCTGAGAAATGAGATTGGGGGTTTTTGCCCGTTAGGGTTTGTATCTGGGTGTCCCCTCAAAGCCTCATACAGCCACGGGGGGGGGGTGGCTTTTCAGTGGTGGCTGAATTTAGAGTTTGTGATTGATTCATGGTCAAACGCTGGGTTTAAGACTGTGAGTGCTACACCTGCCCTAGGGCAGGTAGCCTGCATACACTATAAGGGACAGCAAAAGGCTCGTCCCCTCTCTCTCCCTCGTTGCTTTGCTATAGTCTGCCCGTCATGAGTTGTTCTCCTCTGCCAACCCACCCTGCCTTGGAGCTGGCTGATTATGGATTGAAACCTCTACAAACTGTGAGCCAAATAAACCTTTCCTCCTTTAACCATGAGTGTTGGGTGTTTTGTCTCAGCAGTGAGAAAAGTAACCAAGACACCACCCAAACAGTGCAGTGGGTTTGGTCCCCTGGCTGTGAGAGGTGAAATGGGGGACATCATAGGGCTGGGGATGCAGCTCAGTGGTGGAGTGCTTTCTAGCATGCACAAGGGCCTGAGTTCAATCCCCAGCACCACACACACACACACACACACACACCGGGGACATCAGATGCCAGCTGGTATGACAGGATGATATGGTGCCACGTCGGTGTTCCCCAGAGGTGCAGCAGCACCTGGGGACTTGGTAGGGATTTAGAGGAGCACACACTAGAACAGCACCGAACACCATGGTACCCGGCTAATGGTCCCAAGTGACAGCTCTTTAACCTCCTGGTGGCAACACAGTGGCATAGACAGAATGGGCACAGAGCCCTCTTCAAGCCTTAAGCCAGCTGGTGAGAGAGCAAAATGTTCCCCTCCAGATGAAGACCAAGACAAGAGCATCCCCTCTGTCACCCTCGGTCAGTACTGTGCTGCAGGCTCGGCCAGTTCCACGAGGCAAGGAAAAAGAAGAGGAGGTGTGAGGGCAGGGCCGGAAGAAGCACAACTGCCACTGTCCCCAGAGGCAGCACTGTGCTCACAGGAACACAAGCAGCTACAGATAAGCTCTGTCACAGGCGAATTTAGCAAGAGAAGCTGGATTCTATATGAACAGGCAGAATTGATCACCTCCTTTATATCAGTCACAGGAAAAGAAAATTTTAAGGATAACATTTAAGATAGTACTAAAACAGAAAGTCCTAAGAATAAATCCATACATGATATGTAAGACCTCTATACAGAAAAGTCTTAACCTTTCTCAGTAAGTTACTTTTTTAATGGAATTTGGCAAATTGATTCAAAATTCTCTGGTAGACGAGGTGGAGGGAGCTGCCTGCCAGCTAATTACAACATAACAGTGAGTTATAGCAGCTGCAAAGATGAGGTCACAGACTGACCAGCGGGACAGGTGGAGGCGCTGGAGACACCTGGTGGTGGCGCTGCAGGTCAGCAGAGAGAGGAGGGACTGCAGGGAAAGGGACAGCCCCTGGGGACTCCCCAGAGGAGAGATGGGTCTGCCTCATCCTCCTAACACGCAAACGTCCAGTCAAGGTCTCAAGACCCGAATGGGGAAACTGTTAAACTCCTAGGAGAGATTCTGAGAGAAGAACTTCATGACCTCAGGGCAGGACAGGATTGCTCAAACAAGACCTCTGGAGAAATGCTGATGGATTTGACGACACTAAAAAGAAGAGCTTATATTTATCACAAGACTCCAGATAAAAACAGGCAAAACCAGAAATCAAACTGGGAGGAGATATTTGCATCAATACCACAAAAGAATGGTAACCAGGGTCGGGATGTAGGTTGGTGGTAGAGCTATTATCTAGCATGAGAGGACCTCGGCTGGATCCCTGGCACTGCAATAAAAAAAGGTACCCAGGCCACAGTAAAAATTCCTATTGGCCAAGAGGAAAATGACAACTCAGTCTGAACGCTGTAAAGAGTCTCAAGTAAGCACCAGCCAACAAAGAAAACCTGACTAATGAATAAACAAATGAAAAGATGCTCGATCTCATTAATAATCAATAGAATGTTAATTAAACACAATAAGATACTATTATAAATCCCCTAGCATGGGAAAAATTAAGTCTGAGAGCACCAAGTGCTACAGTGATAGGGCTGAGTGCTGACAGAGGCCTTGCACAAAGCCAAAAATGCCTACTGTCCAGTCTCCTCCAGAAGTGTCCTGGTTGAAGCTTGGTCTATGGCATGGATAATATTCTTTACGTTCATCCTGATGGTAGTTACATGCTGACCACTTTAAATTTATTTGCGCTATGCATGGGCACTTTAAATACCCCAGAGTACAGTCATTTTATAAAATGAAGGTTTAAAAATTAATTCTAGAGGATTTCAAAGTCCCTTTGAGAACATGTGGCAGGTCTGGCATGTAAAAATATCAGAAGCCACTACTCTGTCCCAACAACTTGTAAAAATCTGAAAAAAATTGAAAGCTTAATAATAGTTCTTAGATCCAAAAGAGAAGTCAGGTCATACAGCAAACTACTTCCACCAAAATTGTAAAGAACAAACAGGTGAATTCAGAGAATCACAGCTTCCTGGAGCAAAAAGCCTGCGAGCAGAAACCTCTATGGGAACCACAAAGACAGAAACGGAAAGAACATTCCAAATTCATTCTACAAGGTCAGCATCACTCTAATACCTAAACACTACAAGAAAACTACAGACCAGTCTCTCTCATGAAGATAACTGTGAAAATCCTCAGTAAAATACCAGCAAAATAAACCCAACAATATATAACCAGAACTACATACCTTGACCAAGTGGGCCTTAACCAAGTTACACAAAGATGGTTCAACATTTGAAAAATTCATTAAAGTCATCCATCACATCAACTGAAAACAGAAGAAAAACCACGTGATAAGATCAAAGTTGAAGAAAAAAGCATTTAACAAAATCCAACACCCATTTATAACTCTAAGTAGACTGAGTGTAGAAGGGAACTTCCTTAACTTGATAAAATATAGCTACAAAAATCAATAGCTAACATCATACCTAAGGATGAGATAGCAGAAGCTCTCTCACTAAGGTCAGGAGTGAGGCTAGGATGTTTCCTCTCACCACTGCCTTTCCCCATCATATGGGAAATCTTAGCTAACGCAGTGAGACAACTAATGGAAATTAAAAGTATACAGAATGGAAAGGAGGAAATAAAATTGTTTTTTTTTTCTACAGGTGACATGTCTACATAGAAAATATTCAAGAATTGAAAATGCAGACAAACAAACACCCTCCTAGAACTAAAAAGCAATAGTACCAATGTTGCAGGATATAAGATTAATATACAAAAGTCAGCCACTGTTCTATATATCAGCAACAAACAAGTGGAATTTGAAATTAAAACACAATACTATTTACATTAGAATGCCCAAGATGAAATACTTAGCTATAATACTTAGCTAAAACATATACAAGATCTGCATAAGAAAAATCACAAAACTCTGATGAAAGAAATCAGAGAATGGAATGAAATGAAGAGATGCTCCCTGTTGACAGACGGGAAGGCTCAATATTATCAAGATGTCAGTTCTTCCCAACTTGATCCATGGACTATTAGATACAATCCCAATTAACATCCCAGCAAGCTATTTTGTGGATATTGACAGACTGATTCTAAAGTTTATTTAGAGAGGCAAAAAGCCCAGAATAGCCAACACAATACTGAAGGTGAAAACCTGGAGGACGAACATGGCTTGACTTCCAGATGTGCTTGAAGCCACAGCAATCACAACAGCACAGAGTGGGCAAAAGAACAGAAAAACACATCAGTGGAACAGAATAGAAAGCCTGGAGCCAGCCCCCTATAAATACAATCAGCTGCCCTTTCACAAAGTGGTGAAGGCAAGACGATGGAGAAAAAGTCTTTGCAACAAATGGTGCTGGGACAAGTAGACATCCACATGCAAAAAAAAAAAAAAAAAAAAGTCTACACATGGACCTTCTATACTTCATAAAAATTAACTCTCAGTGGATCTCACACCTGAGTATAAAATACAATTACAAAATGCTTAAAAGATTACAGGGGAGAAAATCTAGGTGAGCTATGTTATCTTTTAGGCATTTTATAAAGAACAGACTAGGGGCC